GTCGAACATGAGCTGCAGGTTGTGCTCTCTGAAGGTCCGCTGCTCTCTGAAGGTCCGCTGCTCTCTACTTTCTTCTCCTCGCAAATGTTCTCCTCACAGAAGAGGAGAGCATGCTCAAAAACAAAACGGATTAAGGAAAAAGAAGGAATAAGAGCGGGGGGGATGGGGGGGGAGGGAGGGAGGGGGTAGATCCACTTACAAAGAGACTACGTGGTCCTGAAACGGAACCGCTCTGCGCAGCAGGCGCGGCTGCATCACGCACGGCCCGGAGTCCGAACCGACAGGAACCTCAGAGAGCCGGATGGAAGGTGAGGAGGGAAGACTGCGAGATACACCGGGAGGGGGGGTATGGGGAGCAGGGAGGTGCCACGCGCACGCGCACACACACGGGGTGAGAGGCGGTGCGCTTTAGACGAAAAGAAAGTGTCATCAAACCACGAGAGAAAGTTTCTCCTGGTTCGTTTCTCACGTGCTGCTCAACCGTGGTGCGTGCGTGGGTGCGTGCGTGTGTGTGTGTGTGGTGGTGGTGGTGGGGGGGGTCTGTCAGTAAGTGGAGAGAAACGGGCTAACTGGATCTCAGAGCTCTGTGCTTATAGTTCTGCAGTTGGATCATGACGTTTAAAAGCCTGTCGCCCGCGCGCAGACACACGCACGGGCAATCTGAGAGCCGAGAACAAATGTGTGGGAGAGTGTTTGTGGGGATGTTTCACAGAGGAAGGATGACGGGACGTCACTTCCGGTCTGAGCAAAGCTCGTCGCTGATTGGTCAGATGAGGATAGGGAGGCATGCTAACAGGAGCAAAGGCACGAGCTGATGGTTGAGGGTTCGACTCCGAGCTGGTGACGCACAAACACAGAGCACCTCCTCTCTGAGGGCGTCTGACTGAAACAACAAACTGTGGGGCTTCTCACCCGCTGAGGGACTCTAATAAACTTTAGGACGTCTCACCGTGTGGGACTTTTGACAAATTCTGGGACTTCTCACAGACCGGTGGACTTCTAACAAACTTCTCACCACCTGTAGGACTTTTGATAAGTTTTGAGAATTCTCACCAGCTGTGGGACTTCTCACCCAAACTGCTGGACCTCTGATAAATTTTGGGATTTCTCCCCAGCTGTGGAACTTGTAAAAACTTCAGGACTCCTAAGTTGAGGACCTCTAGATAACTTTGGAACTTCTCACCAACTGGAACCACCACAATGGGACTTCTGAAAAACTTTGAAAGTAACACTAAGACTTCAAACAATTTTAGGACTTCTCACCAGCTTGAACTTCAAATAAATTTTGTGACTTCTAAAACAAAGTCTTGTCTCCAGCTGTGGTAACTCTAACCAGCACGTGGACTTCTTACAAACTTCAGGACTTCTCACCAGTGGTGGGATTTAACAGTTGAGGGATGTCTCAAACATTCAGCCCGTTTTATTAAGAAACTTTATGTTTAAATCAAGCGTGAAAACAAAATAAAGATCAACACTAGATGTTTCTGTTTTTTTTATTGCGTGGCTGCGGTAGCTCAGTGGTCAGTGCCGTGATCGAGGTTGCAGGTTCGAGCCCGTTGCGTCAGGAAGGGTATCCAGTGAAAAACCAGCGAGTTCAATACAGTGATCCCTGAAGAAGAGAGCAGCAAACTCACTTACTAGTAGTTTAAAAAAAAAAAAAGTTTCCTTTCAACTTAATTACATTTTAAACACAGTTTACAAAATAAATAAAATAGCACAACCCATTTATTCATGTTGTTGCTTACTTGTTTGTTTATGTGTTTATTTTACTCCCTTCATTAAAAAAAAAAAAAACCACTGTAATGCCTCATTAATTGTGACTTATCTGTGCTGCTGATTATCTATGCTGCTGATCTCTTTACGCTGCTGTATTCATACCCAGCTACCGTATTTTTTGGATTGTAAGGCGCATGAAGTGAAAGAAAACAGTCGGATAAGTCAAACTTTATTCAACTCGTTCACAATAACGCTCAACATTGTTCAGTTGTACCAAATAAAATGCACCTGATTATGAAGCTCACTGTCAATTTTTGAGAAAATTAAAGGATTTTAAGTGCGTCTTATAGTCCAAAAAATATGGTGCTCACTGTAGACTCATGTTCAGGCTGCTGTTTAATATATTGTGTTATTTTACATTATTAGTGTTTAGCATATATCTTAGATGTTTTAGCGTATTGTTTGACATTTGTTTAGCGTATGTCTTTGTGTATAAATTAAATCTGTGTCGTTTTTTTTTAATATTTTTGCTATTGTTGAGTGTAACTGGGACCCTGAGTGCACTATTTGGTTCCACCTCATGTACCACCTGTGATGCAAATGACAATAAAGAACCTTGATAAAAGACATTGTGCTTTAAAATGACCAGTGGTCTGGATTGAACAAACCACTGTTATTTGAATTTAATTGTATGAATATTTGTAAAACAGCTCGTATTGGGAACAGACAGTTTGAGAATGAGAACCCTTTGAGCAGAACTGAGCATTTAAAGAAAACTGACCAAGCTGTTGTTGTTTTGCGTTCCGTCCTGTTGATGAATGGTGCGTGACTTGTTAACACGTGACCAGAAGTGTTCCAGTAGATAAAGAAGGACGTCTCTCTGGCTGATAAAACACCTGATTCTCAGCCATTCGCTGTAGATGTGTGGAGCAGCGGCCCGTTCTGTTGGAGCTGCAGCCTGCAGTTTGTTGTGACCGTGAGATGATTTTGGTTGCAGGGACGACTAAAAAACACTCTTTACAGGTGAAGCGTCTCTGAAAACACTGTGAGGAGAGCTTTTCCAGCAGGATTATATAATTATAGTTTTGCTGTGTGTGTTTTTGTTTTTTCTTTTTCTTCTTTCTCCTCCGAGGCTGTAATTACTGCCCACAGCAGCCACGGGTTGTTACTCCTTTCAGCTGGCCTAATCTCACACACCATGAATGGAAACTGTCAATCAGAGGCTGCACTCAGCAGCGAGACAAGAGGGGACTGATTGCTGCTGCACACACACACACTTTTTTCCTCCTTTTGACAATTTTCACTCCCTCTGCTCTCACTGATGCAACAGTA